CTTGTGTCCAGTTGCTCAGCTCTGCTCCAGGCGTCTATGTGCCTGTCATTGAACCAAGACCAGGTTGTTTTTATCACGTGACTGTGTAGCAAGACTTTGAGATCAGAAAATGTGAGACTTCCTGTTTTTCTTTATTTCTTCTGTGTTAATTCACTATTCAAGGCTTCTTCCCTTCCAAGAAAAGACAGAGATTACTTTTTCCATATCAATTAAGAATGCTATTGGCATTTCGATCAAGATCAAGAATGCGTTCTGTCTATAGATCATTTGGAGTAGTATTGACTTTTTCAGTGTTAAGCCTTCCAGTCCGTAAGCATGAAATTCCTCCCCCCTTGATGTAGATCGCATTTCATTTCCTGCAGTTGTATCTTGTATAAATCTTTCACACCCCCCTGTTGTTGTTGAGATCTGACCCATAGTGGGTTTTCAGAAGCATTAGCTTGCATGAGAGGAGATTGCCCATCTGTCTCCTGCAGAGCAGCTGGTGGATTCGAACTGCATAGCTCAGCATTGGCAGCTCAGTTCCTTACCACTAAGCCACCAGAGCTCCCTTCCATGATTTGTAGAAACATCCCTAGTTGAGTTTATTCCTAGGCATTTTATCCTTTGGGGGCATTGTAATTGGTATTGATTTTTTAATTGCCTTTTCAAAGTCCTTAGTAATGTTGAAGAAACCAACTGATGCTGGCATAGCCTAGACTTTGCTGAATTCTTCTAACTGCAGTGATTTTTGGAGGAGTCTGTGGGATTTTTCTATGTGTGTGATTTCCAATTTGGACACCCTTTATATCCCTTTCTTGTTTTAGCGATGGGAGTTCTGGCTGGCCTAGTCAGTAAGGAGTTGTTCTGCCAACCCAAAGGTGTGTAATGCAAATCTACGCGCTTTCCTGTGAGAGAAAGATGGATAGTTTCCTCCCTTATGGTTTAGACCCACCAGAGGGTCCCCTATGAGTCAGTTCTGACTCGACCGCCGTCAAGTTTTTGGGTAGATTTGTTCTGAGCTCTAGTACAATGTGGAAAAAGCTCTGGGCCAGCGGTTAAAGAGTTGCTCTGCCCAGTCTGCCATCGCAAAGATCAGCAGTTCAAACTCACCAGCTGCTTTGTGGGAGAAGGAGAGGTCATCTCTCATGCACTTAATCACTTCTGAAACCCCTCTGGAAGGTCAGCTGGGAATCGATTCTGACTCCTTGGCAATGTGGTCGTTTTTGTTGACTTAGTATGGTGATGACAGGCGTCTGTGTAGCGTTCCACTGTCAGGGAGAATGTCCTCAGTCTTTTTCTATTGATAAGAACGGGGTAGCACTAGCTGTGGGTTTTGCATATATGCGCTCACCTGTATCAAGGAATCCCCTCTGCCCTGTTTTGTCAGGAGAGGGTGTTGGGTTTTATCAGCTGTCTTTTCTGCACTGGCCGCATGTTTTTGTTTGATGGCTGCGGTGAATCACGTTGCTGCGGCTGCATCTGGTCCACCTTGAAGAACGGGGTTCCCGTTGGCACCTTGTGGCACCGACACTGTGGGCCTGGACACTCGGCTTCCTCTGGCTTCGAACATCAGTGCCACCTTTGCCTTGGACAGAGCTCTCATCCCACATGTTTTCTCAACTTCAATCTGGAGATAACAGCACAACCAACAGCACAGAGATGGGAAAAGGAAGCACCGTCAGTCCCCAGGTTCCGAACGTCTAAGGTCCATGTGCTGTAAATTTGCTCTCACTTGGAAATGTGTCATTAGTTAACCCACCGCCATCAAGCTGATTCCAAATCAGCAACCCTGCGTTGTTTTTGTTGGGCTGAGTATGACTCATAGCAACCCTTTGAACAGATCTGAGCCCTGTCCTGTCCCGTCCTGTGCCGTCATCATCTCTGACACACTTGAGCCCCCTGTGCCAATCCATCTCATTGAGGGTCTTCCTCTCTTTCACCAAGTATAATGTGCAGAATAAAACTGTCCCATTGGGTTTCCCAGGCTCAAAGCCTCATCTCACATCCGTTGGGGATGTTGCTAGGAGAGGCTGTTCCTCGGAGAGGGACATCGTGCTTGGAAAGGTGGGACATCAGCACAGGAGAGGAGGTCCCTTAACCAGCTGGGTTGACACAGCAACCGCAGCGATGGGCTTGCGTGTGCCTGAGATGAAATGGACGGCACAGGACAGGACAGGGGTCAGATCTGTTGTTCCTCAGGTCGCTGTGTGTTGTACTCAGCTCGCCAGCACCTCACAACAACAGCGTCCTAACGGGAACAGAGTACCCTATCCTTCTGAGCGAGGCAGGTGGGTTCAAACCACCAACCTTTCAGTTAGCAGTTCATTGTTTAACCCTCAGTGGCACCAGGGCTTCTGGAACCAAGCCCTGCGTGAAATAAACTTTTTCCATCACCATCACCTCCACTTGTTCTGACAAGCTTTTCAATCACTGAAAGGCTCTCCGCTTCCCCTGCAGTAAAGGGAACCCACTGCATCACGTCGACTCTGACTCAGAGCCCTGTCTGGTTTCCCAGCTGCAGGTCTTTATGGGAGGAGGTGGTACAGCTTTCTGTGTCAGAGGTGAGGGTGGATTCAAACTGTGGACCTTTGAGGTTACAGCCCTACATGCAGCACTCTACACCACCAGGGCTAAGAGCTGAAGGCTCCTGTTTCCACTTACCTGTCAGTTGGGCTTAAGGCTGTTCGGAGCAGATCCCGTTCATAACCTGGGACTCTGTGCAGGAACAGGTGGCTCCCGGTCTGGTCGAGTCCAGGCATGGCTGGTGGTGGTGTTGCTGGGGCCGTGGAACCACAGTCCCCTGAGTAGACAGCCACTTTTCTAGTTATTCTTGTGTACTGTCCAGTTGGAGCCGACCATAGCTGACCCTCCAGTGGGTTTTCAGAGGCAGTTAACGGCACGGGAGGAGATTGTCCATCTTTCTCCTGCAGAACAGCCGGTGCATTTGAACCATGTACCTCTGGGTTTCCAATACAGCGCCTTACCCCTAGGCCACCAAGCACGTGGAGCTCCTGAAAACAAGTTGCCCATGGCATTTCCTGCCGCAGGGACCCTTTGAGAGGGAGCTCTGGTGACCTAGACCAGGGGGAGCTGCAATGTTGGCTGAAAGGCTGCACCTCTCGGGCGCTTCAGATCTACCTGTGGCGCTTTGGGAGGGAGATAGACGATGTCCTCTTGCTCATCTTAAAGCCAGAGAAGCCCTGTGGAAGGTCAGCTGTGAGTTGACTCCGCAGCACTCAGTTTTAGGGGGACCCTTTGGGCCAAGTGAGCTCCCCTTTGCTCAAGCTATAAAGCAGGGCCCTGGGAGCAAGTGGCTGTAGAACCAAGAGGCCATTGCCTTCATCCCGGCCGTTGCATGGAAGCCAAGACCTGGCTGTGTGCTTCTGTAGAGGTTACGGGCCGAGAAGCCCTAGTGGGGCTGCCGGACGCTGTCGCTGTCGCATGGGGTTAAGATGAGCCAAACTTGACTTGACAGCCCCAAACAACAACAAAAGCTAGGCACAGCTGATGTTCCCGAGGCCTTTTGTAGCGGGGCCGCTGGAGTTTCTCGCTGCAGTGTCTTCCCCTGCAGTTTGTGTTACTTGACTTGCTTTCATCAGCAGTTCTCTCTCTCTCTCTCTCTCTCTCTCTCTCTCTCTCTCTCTCTCTCTCACACACACACACACACACACACCCGCCTCCCAGCACATGTTAAAGGTGAGGGTGTCGGTGGGCGGGGGTCTCCGGAGCTGCATTTCCTGGCGCGTTCACTGTTTACTAAAATCGGAGTGCATCTCTTCCAGAGCAGTTCCCATCTGTTGTCTTTTTTCCTTCTCGAAACATTCCTGGGAGCTGGGAGGGCGGAAGAGGGGTGGGGGCAGGGTGCACGAGGTATTTTTAGCTTCACACTGCAGATCTGAGGCCTATTTTGCATCGCCGTCCAGATTGACTGTTGCCTCTCCTCATTCATTTCCCCCCATGAGCAGACCACCGTGCACCCAAGCACCTCCAGATTCCGCGAGTCATGCAGTGACCCCTGCTCCCCAAAACCGCCGCAAAGTGGGCATCAGAGAAGAATGCAAACTCGGGTGGAGGTGGCTTTTTTTTACTGGTTGGGCTTTTTCTCGTCATGGTGGTGATTTAAATCTGGAGTTGTCTTTCTTGGGCATGTTTTAGTTGTGTTGAATGCATCGATGGCAAGCACTTGCCGGTTTGGTCGTGTCCCCGCTTCCAGCCCAGTGGCACTGAATAGGCTCAGTGGTCACTGTCAACCGTGCCCACTTTTCTCATCGCCCTTAGCAATCCCGTGGCCTGTCATGGTCACGTTGCTTTAATAATTGATTGTCTTTTGTTGTTGCTGCTCCTGAGGTGATGCCCAGCAAAGTGTGCACAGGAGTTCCCACATGGTGTTGGCACTGACTTTTTTTTTTTACCCCAGAATCGCTTCTGTTTAGATTACACTTGCATCTGGGGGTGTGGGGGTGTTTGTCTGGTTTTGAGGGTTTTTTTTTCCTTTGGGATCTGAAGCCTCCAAAAATCCTAATCTAGCTTGGTCAGTCACACGGTCCACCAGAAGCTGGACCAAGATTCAAAGCTGGACCAAGATTCGAACCTGTGTCCTCCACCCCATCAGGCAGGCCTTGCACTGTTGTTCTTCCGGGTCCTAGAGTCAGTTTTCCCCTCACAGCACCCCCAGGTGGCAGAGTAGCGCTGTCCCACAGAGTTTCCCAGGCTTTTGTGACCTCCAGGCCTTTCTCTCATGGAGCGCCTTGGTGGATTCGAACCATTGACCTTTGAGGTAACAACTCAGTGCTTAACCATTGTCCCACCAGGGCTCCATAGGCACTGTTCTAGACGCTTCATATCCACCACCTGTGAGCATTGGAAGTGCCTAGCAGTTGGCAGGGAACACCCTTCCTGTCCGGCTGTCCAGGGCTTGAAAGTGGCCAAGCAGGGACTCAAACCCACACTCTCTGTGCCTCCATCCTCCATCCTGGCTGACCGCTGACCTCGCTATTCTGCGTGCTCTGTCCTCCCAGGGAAGCGACAGCGAGTACGAGGTGGACGCGAGCCATCAGAAGACCCACTCTTTCGTCAACCACTACATCAGCGACCCCACGTACTACAATTCATGGCGCAGGCAGCAGAAGGGCATCTCCAGGGCCCAGGCGTACAGCTACACAGAGAGCGACTCGGGCGAGCCGGACCACGCCACCCTCAGCAACAGCACCAGCACTCAGCAGGGCAGCCTCTTCCGGCCCAAGGCCAGTCGGACTCCAACGCCTCAGAACCCCCCAAACCCTCCCAGTCAGCAGAGCACCATCTACCGGCCCCCCAGCAGCCTGGCCCCTGGCTCCCGGGCACCAATAGCGGGATTCTCCTCCTTCGTGTGACCGCACTGGAAGAGGTCGAGAAGAGAGAGACACACATCCACTCCCCTCCACCCTTACACACACACCGCCTGCCAGAAAACAAGCTCATCAAGAAGTCAACACAGCCCCTCCCGAGTTTATTTTCCCAGCGATTCCAGGGCGCAAAGCCGGTGCTGAGGAGGAGGAGGAGGAGGGAGAAGGGGCGTCTGCCTGGGAGGGTCCGGTCGCTGCTGCTGCTGCTGCTGCTTCAGGAACTGCAGCACAGAGGACGGGGGGCAGGGGGGTGAGATCCCTGCAGACATGGAGGGAGGGAGGACAGAGGACTGGGCAATTGGGAAGGAGGAGGAAGAAGCTTCTGGAAGTCCAGCCAGCTGCTGCCTCCAGCAGATACTTGGAGCCTCACAGCCAGAAGCTCCTCCATTAAGGACGGACATCAGAGAGCCAGCTCTCATCTCTCTCTCCAGACTTTCCCACTCGCACCCCTGGCCCCCGCCCCTCACCCCAGCCTCCTTGGAGTTTTCACTCTGCTTCTGCCACAGCATTGGGTTCATTTAGAACAGACAAGCTAGAGGGTCTGCTATCATAGATGGGCTTCACTGGCTCTTTACTCCCAGCAGATTTTCTTGTTGTGAAGCCCAAGCAGGGGGAAGCCCCGAGGGTGAGGAGAGTGCCCCTGCAGTGGAATGTTGCTGAGCCCGGACTAGAACTCATGGACCAGGAGGGATGAGGTCACTGGACTGGGGCTGAATGGTGATCCCTGGGGGAGATGCAAGAAGCCAGGAAAGTTAACAGGGAAGCTTTGACTTTCTTTCACTCCGGGGACCACTTGCCCATCTTTCCAGAAGGAGAGGGGATAGACCTGGTTCAGCCTGGAAGTTCAGCTTGCCTGGGGTCTGGGGTCGGAAAGTGGGCCCAGGTGAGGGCTCCCCTGTGGGCAGACCCTGCTCTCCCAGACACCTTCCTCCAAGGGTACATACACAGACATGCACACACATATATTATACATGCATGTAGGCATATACACACAGCAGTGCAGTCATACATAGAGGTGCGCACACCTGCACTCAGAGTTGTGTACACACACTCATGCATATGTATACAGGCATGCATCTGCAGCCACACGTGTGCACATACAGAGTCCCACCTCCCTAAGCACAGGCAAGGAAAAGGGGCTAGGTCCCTCCAAGCCAACGGCACACCCCCTCCCGAGGCATGTCCTGTGCTCCCAGCACCCCTGGAGTCTGTCTAGAACTCCCCAGCCTCAGGAGCAGTCCAAGTCATGGCCCAAAGCCTGGAGCATTCTGAGTTTTCCTCACCTTCCCAGAGCCTAATTTACAGCCCAGGATGTCTTCCTGTTGGGCACATGGTGGCAGGGCCTGGGCGTGGGGAGGGGCCCGTCAGGAAGCTCAGTCTAAAGCAGATACAGTGCCCAGGGTGCCCAGCTGAGCCAGCTAAGGGGACAGGTCAGCTGGGACCAAGGGACCGGTACAGCTGCTGAGAGGCAAAGCTTTTATACACCATCAGCTGGAGAATGTTCATTTAAAAGCCACTTCTGGGCGTGGCTCTTGCTTCCAGCTTGGAACTGGCAGAAGTCAGGGAGAAGGCAGAGCCTTGCTGTGCCCTGCCCTGGACTGTCCAGCTGAGGGACCCCAGCAGGCCCAGTGCACCATGGGGCAAGGCCAGCACCTGCTCAAGCCTGCTGACTGTGCTGGTGTGGGCACACTGGGGGTGGGAGAGGAGAGGAGGAAGCATAAAAGGCGAGGCCATGAGAAGAGGGGGCCTGTACCCACCCCACCGCCCAGCCCAAATCAGTCATGTGCTCCTGCTGTCTGGGAGTGGGAGTCAGAGTCAGAGCCCCTGGGAAACGGGGATGGAGACATGCTGGAAAAGGCAGCTGACTCCATCCAGTGTCCTAATGGTGATTTCCCCATCAGGGACTTTGGGAAAGGAAGCAAGTTCCCCCCAAAGGAAGGCAGAGGGCTGGGGCTTGGGCTCCTCCCCTGGGAGGGAGGGGCTTCAGAGCCTGCTAGCCTCCTGCCCAGCAGCCCCCAGCCCCTCGCTGCACATCTGTGGCTGCACACGCTCTTGCTACTGCCCTTTCCTTCCTCTCATTTTTTTTAAAGAAAAAGTTTGTTGTGTTTTTTTTTAACATCTTCACCCTTCTCCCTCTCTTCTGTGTGTTTAGCCATTTAAGGAAGTTCCCAGTTTGCATTAGGGAATTCTCTTAGCCCAGCCCAGCCCAGCCCAGCCAGGGGCTCTTGGGGGTATAGAGGGTGGGAGAGTGTGTGTGTGTGGGGGGGGGTTCCCACGAGGCCAATTTCCCTTTGCCTTCAATGCATCACCTGCTGCACTGATACCAGCCCCCTGCGCCCACAGCCGTGTTCACACCAGCATGGACATGGGTACACTCTTGGCATCGTGCCTGCCGAGTCTGAGCTCACACACATGCACACCCAGCTATGCACGGGACACACGTTTGCAAAGGGGTTCTTACAAATTGTAAGTGAGGGCTGGAGCTTCACTCTTGAGTCCCTCCCACGTGGGCCCAGAGTGGAGAGGTGGTGAAGAGAGAGCAAAAGGAACTCTTAGAAGACCCTTGGAGTGAGGCGGGGTCTGTGGTGAAGGACACAGACAGTAGCCACCCCTGGAGTTCTGCCTCCTCCAGCCCCGGCGCTGTCTGGAAGCTGTGGACACCTCTTTGCCTGGTTTACATATCTCCTTGGGGAGGGCAGATCTCGGGCCACATCAGAGGGTGTGGTGGGCTCTGTCCACGGGGAACGGGAAACACCCCACACTGCGTTTCCTTAGAATGATGATGGAAGCATTCCTGCCCATGTGACTCCAAAGCAGATTCACTCCAGGCCACTCACCACCTGGCACCTGCCTGGAGACCATGGGTGGAATCTTTCCTGGCCTTGCACCCCAGGAGCCCCATTCATCTGAGGTATTCCCCAGACCCCCACATCACATGTGCCACCAGCTTTAGTGTAGGCACCACCCAGACCACCAAGATGAACCAAAAAGATGCTCTGGGGGCCCCTCCTGCGAGGACTCCAAGGAGTTTGCAAACCCAGGCTCCCCACCTGTCCCTCACCTGACACTGCCGAGTCTCCCAGGAAACCAGGAGAGCGTGGGGCTGCCCTGCCCGGCACACGCTGCCTCGAGGCCTTCTGTCGCTGCCCACGCACCCCCTGGGCAGTACTTTTCAAGGTGCCAGAACCTCCCCCCAGAACCCCTCCGGGCAGGGGCTCCCTACTCCCCCAGAGTGCACATGCAGGGGTGCCCGCTGGGCAGTGTGCTTGAGTTCAGAAGTTGGGGGTCAATTCAGTGGCCATCTGAATAACAGTGCCCTCCCCAAGTGCTAGGGGCACCCACAGGCATGCCACCATGGCTACCTGACCACCACCTGAGTATAGGTGCCCCCTTAAGGCCACCCCCCTTCTCTTTGTCTCAACAATAACCAAAAGTATTGAAATGTGCTCCCTTTCTTTACACCTATAGATCCCAAAAGGACAGAAAACAACACAAATCTTTATTTTTTTGATTTAAAAGATATAATGAGAAGTTACGGGGAAGAGTATTCATTATGGCAGGTGTCTATCTGTTAAGAAAACAAAAGTATATATATATATCTATATATATCTATGTCCTATAGCTTGTTAGCAGGTTTATTTTTTAAAAGAAAGATAAAAAAGAAATTGATTTGAAATCTATACCCCGAAAAGTCCCATGTGTCAAACTGTCAGTATTTTATAAATAAACTTTTTTTTTTTTTTGAAACTTGAGGCCATGTTTCTTCTTCTCTGGGGACCAAGCAGAGACACCCTCGTCACACTTTGCTCCCAGAGTCGACTGTCCAAATCTGCAGAGTCCATTGGTTTGGGATTTACGGACACATAGCCAGGCTTCAGCCAGGGATCTAGGTCACCCCAGAGAAGTCAAAGACCCAAGAACTCCCCCTCGCTGTGGTGCACAGAGAGGTCCGGATGCTGTTACAGTCAAGCAAGTTCAATGCACTCATCATAGCGTGGTTAGAATGGCCTCTTGGAGGCTGGTGACGCGGGCCAGGCCCACCTGCTGCCAACCTGACTCTCAAAGCCCAGAAGAGCCCCCTCCTGGTGGCCCCAGGTGTCTACAGGGCAGTGGGGGACAGGACAGCGGCTGGGGATACAGCCCCTCCCTCTGCAGCCAGCCACTCCAACTCCCTCCAGTGACCGGCTGTGAAGAGGCGGTTTGATTTGCATTCTGCTTGGAAGCTCTTTGCAAGACCCAGATAAAGTGGCTGGTGAGTAGGGTCACCATACGGCCTCCTTTGCACATGTTAGGTGCTGTTGAGTTGATGGCTGATGTGCTGTGACACTGTGAACGGCAGAGCCAAACCTCGCCCTAACCGTTTAGTGTCCTCAGTCACCGCCATGCCCAAGCCCAAGCCCATTGCCACGGTCACCGTATAAATCCATCTCATCCGGGGTCTTCCTTGCTTTCACTGACTCTCTGCTTTTCCCATCATGATGTCCCTTTCCAGGAAGACACCCCCTGACCACATGCTCAAAGCATGTGAGGTGAGGTTGCGTCACCTCCCCCTCGAAGGAGCACCCTGGTTTCCTCCAGGACAGATCCATTCATTCTTCTGACGGTCTGGGAGCAGGAGCAGCATCCACTTCCTAAACAACATGCCTCCAGAAACTCTATCAACTTTGATAAATGTCGATCGTTGTAGAGGAGCTTCAAGCCTTTTGTTCATAGGGTCCCTGTGAGTCGTGCTCAACTTGAAGGCAATCAACAACAACAACTGACAGACTCGAAGGCAATCAACAACAACAACAAGAACTGACAGTCCATGTTGTGGAAGAAAGAGAATCCCTCCCTCCCTTGTGCTTTAAAGCCTCTAAAACCCCACTGAGGGTCAGCTCTGAGTTGGTCCCCACTGGAGAGCTCATAACAACAATACGGTATATGCAACACTCTTGGCCAACACCGTAATTCAAAGGTACAGCATCTATTATCCTGGTGTCATTAGG